TGCGCCACTTCGTGGAAGTGTCTCAGCAGAGCAAAGAACTGCTGGAACTGCCTGTAGAGGAGCTGCAAGCGATAATCGAGTCCGAGGAACTGGTCGTGGAGGACGAGAAAGTTGTGTGGGAGTGCATTCTCCGGTGGATCAACCACGACTCGGACAACAGGAAAGGTCACATCGCGGACCTTTTGAAGGGCGTCAGACTGGGACTACTTGACGCAAAGTTTTTCGAGGAGAAGGTCAGTATTCCCCTGGATGTTTATGGGAAGTGAAGCCCGCATTTTCAGTTCCATTTTCACACGTGTTCATTACCAATTAATGCACGTGTCAGCCCGTCTGTCTGTCCGCAGTTAAAGTTCGAGAACGTCTAAACGGATGTTGGTTGGATTTAATTCTTGTGGGCTTTATCAGAATCTGTTGATACATATCGATTCTGGCTAAAATCTTAAAATATCAACGTGAAAAATACACAGTTATTTGAATGCCGTTTTCCACGCAAAATTTGCTGCATAAGATATCTCCAGATTGCCTTAATTTCCATGACTGAAATAACTACCTGTGAAATGCCGCTGGTAACACGCTCGCATATGTGTGTGTGTATGTGTAAAACAATTATTCCATTCGTCCTTTTAGTCAGATATGTGGGTTGAGTTAATAATCGAACTTTCTTCATCGTCTGTAAGTTTGACAGTCCGTCTGTGCTACAAACTTTTATTCGAGTCTCAGCGTTTATTAAGATCCGTTGCGTGTTTCAGTTCAACTACATCATTCCACATACAAACGCCATTCAGCTTGAATAGGAAAATCCTCAACAGATAAATCACGTCTTCTGGAGCAGCGTTCTGCTTAACCAAAGATCCTACTGCCATAAGAAGCGTATCTTAGCTGCTATAACAATTTCACGCATCTCAGACAATCTATAGAGTCAACCCGAGAACACTTAGCATGATAATCTTCATCTGATTGACCACATAGGGACAACAGATATTGGAAAAGTGCAGCAAGAAAGCTTCGTTCTATCTCCGAGAATAAATTACTCCAGGGGCTTCAAACTCATAGACTGCTTTAACATTCTGATATTTTAACCGTCATCTCACATAGCAGGAATACAACTTATGATATTCTATCTTCCATTTCAGCACGTGTTTTTACCCGAGAGAAATGTTTCTGTTCTAGATCAAATGCCCTGAGATTTCAGCCACTCACCTCTTACGAATACGTGTGAAACAATCGCACGGATTCATGAAAATGTTAACTGCGTCAAATGTCTTTACAATTTAGCATTCCTATCTACTAGTTTCGAACACTTAAAAAGGACCAATTGAGGTCGAACATGCAATGGCTCTTAATAGACACTCTGTTGTGTTGACTGGCCTTCAAACCAACCATCAACATGCAGCAGGTTGCCTCCTTGGAACTCGAAGCAACTAATTGTCATAATTTTCTTTCGATGCTACTTAATTTTGACGATTAATTAAAGTTATCGATTCAAAAAGAATGTGGTGATCGCAGAGTGCATCTCGCACGGGAGAGACGAGATAGAAATTACATTTTTGAATGTGACTGAAAATGCAACCCCATACTGAAGTATTTAACTTTCGGTTGAAACGCATTTCAATAGATTTCTCTAAGATCGATTTAATCTTGATTTCGCATCTCTCCACAACCTGTGCATTTGTTAAGGGCGTCGTTACATAAACCAAAATACATATTATCCTGTATTCGTCATTGTCGCTCACATTCCTGGACGACGAGAAAAGTTTGACGAGGAAAGAGAAGGATTTCGTGACACCAAGGATTGCCCGCCCTCGATATCGACCGGACATTCTGTTTGCTATTGGTAGGGGTTGGAAAGTAAGATATAGAGATGTGATCGAAGCGTACGACGCACGAGCTGACCGGTGGACTGTGGTGAGTTCCACGCATTTCTACTCTTACCGTGTCTTGTTATATGACGCTTCAGAGAAAAACTACTTTTCCTGTTTTTTGCTTATTTTTTCTAAGTAATTGCTTATTTAAGCTTAATCACAAGCACCTCGTTGCCTCTTTATTTCGTGATCGTTTATTTCCATTACAGTGAACCCTTTTTTAAGTTAAGCTTTAAAGACATGAATTAAAAAGAATAAATAAATAAATTACACAGGTGCTGAGTCTCGTGTATACAATGTAAGTTTCAATAGGAATCGACGAAGGATATAAAGTTTGCCTTAAATACCATTTGCAATAAGCGTCGTACATCAACTGACATATCAACGTGTCTGCAGATTTTAGACATGAAACGAAGTCATCGTTGATCGTCAGTGGCTTTCAACATAATAAATGAAGCACTGATCAATGTCGATGCTGGTCATCTGCGTGGTAATGCCTCTTGAATTAGAAGGCTTTGGGGTGAGGTGGGGGACGTACTGCCTCCAGCTTTGCGTCGATGAAACCCAAAACACCAACATCTGTCTAAAGAACCTGAAATGTCAGCTGTTGTTCAGAAATTAATTCTACATTTGTCTGTCGTACTTGACGAGAGGTTCTCTTTGTGTCTTCCTGTTTCCTCCGTGTCTCATAATTCCACCATTGCTCCAAGTTAATTTCTCACGGTCTTTGTCGAGTGCGGTATGCGCGGCCACCCACCACGGTGTAAAAATTTCGGTCTTCTTTTGGAGGTTGCATCTGTGCTCCGGTGGTTGGTCGCTTGGACTCTAAAGTAAGGACTTCACATCAGCAGGTTGAATGTGACTGAAAATGCAACCCCATACTGAAGTATTTAACTTTCGGTTGAAACGCATTTCAATAGAATAACCTGTCGTTCCTGCAGGTGGAGGAAGTCGACTCGGTCGGTCCGTATTTGTTCCAATGCGCGGCAGTAGTCGGTTTCGACATTTACGTCATCGGTGGTACTGGTAGGTGCCTTGCAGATTTGAACACATGCCGCTGCTTAAACGCTGTTACGAAGACGTGGCGCGAGGTGGCGCCTATGCATGAACACAGGTAAGATGCAGCTTGGTAACTAAGGAACTCGTTTGAACAGAGTCCATTAATATAAGCTAGTGGTCGCTATGTTAGTCAAGATAGAAACGTGGGCAGAGGCTGTAAAATTGTACCATTCACAAACAGGAGTATCGTATCACATTCCTGGACGACGAGAAAAGTTTGACGAGGAAAGAGAAGGATTTCGTGACACCAAGGATTGCCCGCCCTCGATATCGACCGGACATTCTGTTTGCTATTGGTAGGGGTTGGAAAGTAAGATATACGAGAGGAAATGCATCTGAATCAGCAATAAATGAGCATAGCAGAGCGTGTACTTTTTATCGTTTCAGATCCAATTTAATGGTGGCAGTTCTGCGAGGTGCAGTGTACGCCATGGGCGGTTTCTATGATTGTCTGCGTCTCAGTACGGCGGAAAGATACGACTGCGAGACAAATCAGTGGTCTTTGATCGCTCCCATGAAGACAGCGCGAAGTGATGCAAGTGCGGCTGTGCTGAATGGTACGTAAAAGCTGTGAAACAGTAGTGTATGGATTAGTACAGAAGGCGAGGCGTTTGTCTGTACGTGTGTAACAACGCAAGAACGGTCGAAGGATATAAAGTTTGCCTTAAATACCATTTGCAATAAGCGTCGTACATCAACTGACATATCAACGTGTCTGCAGATTTTAGACATGAAACGAAGTCATCGTTGATCGTCAGTGGCTTTCAACATAATAAATGAAGCACTGATCAATGTCGATGCTGGTCATCTGCGTGGTAATGCCTCTTGAATTAGAAGGCTTTGGGGTGAGGTGGGGGACGTACTGCCTCCAGCTTTGCGTCGATGAAACCCAAAA